AGGAGCCAGGAGCCAGGTGCTTTTCCTGGTCTCCCATGGGGTGCAGGGCCCAAGCACCTGGGCCATCCTCCACTGCACTCCCTGGCCACAGCAGAGAGCTGGCCTGGAAGAGGGCAACCGGGACAGAATCCGGCGCCCCAACCGGGACTAGAACCCGGTGTGCCAGCACCGCTAGGTGGAGGATTAGCCTAGTGAGCCGCGGCGCCGGCCTTCCTTTGCTGTTGGTTCACCCTCCAATGGCCACCGCGGCCAGGGTGCTGCGGCCGGCGCACCGCGCTGATCCGAAGCCAGGAGCCAGGTGCTTCTCCTGGTCTCCCATGGGGTGCAGGGCCCAAGCACTTGGGCCACCCTCCACTGCACTCCCGGGCCACAGCAGAGAGCTGGACTGGAAGAGGGGCAACCAGGACAGAATCCAGTGCCCCGACCGGGACTAGAACCCAGTGTGCCAGCACCACAAGGCGGAGGATTAGCCTAGTGAGCCGCGGCGCCAGCCAACCTGCTACATTCTTGAGCAATTCTAAGACCAGGACACCCACTCAGAGGACCAAGGACCCTCAGTCCACCTTCCAGTGCAGGGAGGGAACTGCTGGCAGAACAGCCCTGAAACAGAAACACTTCCCAGGAACTTCTGCATGGCAGCTTAGGCCCTCATTCATAAAAATGGCCACAGATATTAAGTATTCTCCTCCCTGAGAATTAGGGTGAACGTAGCATGACTAAGCCCTGTAATTCCTTAAGAATCTTCAAACTAGAGGTAGGCATTCTGGTGCAGCAGATTAAGCTGCATCCATACTGGAGTGCCTGGATCCCAGTCCTGGCTCTGCTTCGGATTCCAGCTTCCTGCTAACACACACCTTGGGAGGCAGCAGGTGATGACTCAAGTAGTTGGGTTCCTATCACTCCTGTGAGAGACCCAGATTGAGTTCCTAGCTCCTTGCTTTGGCCTGGCCCAGCCCCAGCCACTGTAGGCATTTGAGAAGTGAACCTGCAGATGAAGATCTCTGTACCAGCCTTTCAAATAAATCAAAAAAATTTTAAAGAATTATCAAATAAAAGTCTAATTTATCTTCTTAGAAGTCCTTTTATCAGTTAAGAATCAGCTCTAATGGAGAAAGGAGAAATCAGAAAGAAAGGCATTATTTTGGAAAAATTTTTAAAAGAAAAAAGATGACCAAAATAAAGATTTCTACAGAGAGCTAAGTTATGGATTGGTTATGCTTCAAAAACCAAATTGGTTTTGTAGTGGACTGTAGTGATGATAGTCACCACACAATTCTATGCTCTACTGAAAATCACTGTACACACAAAATAAGTTAATGTTGTAGGAGGAAAACTACACCTCTAAAAAGCTGCTGTAACATACAGCCCAGCTCCTTCCGGCTTCAGACTCGAGCATCGGAGTGAATATTTTACACTGGTCTCCAGGTTCCTGAGGGCAGTGTTGGCTTAACACAACTTGGCTGCCTTTCCCTCCCAATTCACTTCCCCACCTACACCTGCACTTCCCAAACCACCACTGATGCCAGAGTACTCATGTTTCCAGAAGAACCCAAATCAAGGGTTGGATAGTATTTCCATTTGGTATTCTTCTTGCCTTTTTTTTTTTTTTTTAAGAAGTGGCTGATGCTGACGCCAAGGTCAGGATCATTGACGATCTATCAGTAGGATGGTTAGGGAAGCCAATTTCAGGCAAGGCTGGGTGATGAGCAGGAACAGAGAACATTGATTGAAGGCAGGCTGGGCAAGGGCGAGCCACAGGATGGAAAGTTTCCAGGGCAGTGAGGAGCCCTTGGCTAACACTGAGGATGCGGGTTCTCCATGTGACCTACTGCGCCGGGACATGAAAGAGCACTCTGGAAGCAACTCTTCAACAGCCAGGCCCCTGATTTAGAAATAAACTGTTGGATTACAATCAAATTAAAAACTGCTTTTGCTGCTTCCAAGCAATCAATACATCCCCTTTCACAATGCACACCAGGTCAGGAAGAAAGTTGCTGCCAAGGTTCAAAGGCCATCACTGCTGCTTGGGATGAAAATTCCTGAACATAGATCAAAGTGACAGAAAAGCAGGGAGCACACCTAAGCAGAACGCCATTTTTCCGTCTAAGGTGTTTTTAGAATACACTGGGTGGATGTCTGACCTTGCAGTTGAGTCATGGGGTCAGGATGCCTGCACCCCACATCAGAGTACCTGAGTTCAATCCCAGGCTCTGGCTCCTGACTCCAGCTTCCTGCTAACGCACACCCTGGGAGGCAGTGGTGAAGGCTCAAGTAATTGGATTCCTGCCACCCACATGGCAGAGTTGAGTTCTTGGTTCCCAGCTTCAGCCCCATCCCAGCTGTTGCAGATACTTGGGGGATACCTTCTCTTCTCTCTGTCTCTCACATAAATAGTTTTAGAAATCAAAATAAAGGAGCCAGCATTTTGGCATGGCAGGTAAAGCTGCCTCCTGCAATGCCAGCATCCCATATGGGTACTAGTTTGAGTACCGGCTGCTCCACTTGCAGTCCAGTTCCCTGCTAATGCACCTGGGAAAGCAGTGGAAGATGGCCCAAGTATTTGGGCCCCTGCACTCATAAGATTTGGAAGAAGTTCCTGGCTCCTGGCTTCAGTATGGCACAGCCCTAGCCATTGTGGTCATCTGGAGAATGAACCAGCAGATGGAAGATCCCTATCTCTGTAACTGTGCCTTTCAAATAAATATTTTTTAAAAAATCAAAACAAAACACATATACTGCATAGAGACTAACGCTGTATTTCAATTTCCTGAAATTAACCCCATCATAAAACTGGTATTAATCATATTGATTGGAAGTGTTTTAAAGTCATATATATATAGTATTATAGCTTACAGTATTTTTGAGCATTCTAAGAACTGAAGTGCCTCATTCTTGGCCTCTACCAAAACCAACACAGAACTACCATTTTGGAAAAATTAAGCAGATATCTGAACCTCAAAAGGCCAGCACTGGTGTTATTTTCTGGTTCTAAACAAGAATTTTGACTTCACCTGGCGTTTTTCATCAGGAGGTAAATCAGAGAAGCTTGTTTTTAGCCCAAATAAAATTCATCCATTCCAGCTTTCCTGGAGTGAAAAATCAGACAGCCTTTGCCCTAATAAAGCCACCCTCCCTCTCTGTGTCTGAGAGGGCTGAGACAAGCCTACATCACCATCATTCAGTCCGGAGTGGAAAAGCAGGTGGTACCCTTAGGAAGCTTTTAATTCGGGACTCAACGTCCAATTGTTAACAGTGCATTCCCCCAACTTCCTGGCTCTCTTTTCCAGTCTCCCTTGACCAATTCAAGAAAGGAGGTGGTGTAAAACCAGGCCCAGGGACGGGAGTGAGCTGTTCTGGTCTCTTTCCTCCTTTTCCTCTTAAGGAAGACCTGCTTGGATTTAGGAAAAGCTTAAACCCTAGCAATGCTCACTGAGCCCTCTGACCTTCAACTCAAAATCAACATGACTTAGCAACAGCCACAAAAAAGGCCCACAACACCCAGTTGCACGGTGCCTCCAGTGTTGAGCAGTTGTCAGAGAAATGAACAACTCGTGGTCCTTATACCCATAAGCCCGGAGCCAAGACAAGGCCGCGTGGAGGTAAGGTTCAGTCAGTCCTACAACTGAACCCAAGCCGGGGTAAAATTCCAGCACCAGGCTCCCTTTGCTGCAAAACCCGTGAGGTCAGCCTCTCAGGTCAGCCAGGGCTCGGGCAGCCACTGCGACAGCAAGGACTCCCTCAAAAACAGCAGCACGCAGGGCACGGGGAGGCCCACTGCCGTCCCCCCACCCCGCCAGGCCGCCAAACCCGCTGGAAACCTACCACCTCTCTGCTTCCTCTGCTACAGCGCTTCCTCAGGGGAGAAGAATCTCTACAAGAAAAAAATAAAGACATTTTTTCCCTCAGAGGAGAAACTTCCTGCCTGAGGACGCATGGTCCAGGAACTCCCAGAAAACATGAATGAGGAACAAACTAGCCACGGGTTCCCACATGGTTTCAAACCAAACTAAACTTTTAATTTCATTTTTCCACACACATTTTTTAAGTGCCCTTTAAATGGACACACGCTGACTGTGAAGCAATTACCTGTGAATGTTCCGAGGGCATCCTTTTCCGGCTCTTAACGCAGTGGTTACTACCCCTGGAGCACGCCCCGGGAGCCCCGAGAAAGCCAGGCCGCCGCGCCAGGCCCGTGTCCTCACCCTTGCCCACAAACGTCCTCCACACCACTGACTCTTTTTTGACAGGCAGAGTTAGACAGTGAGGAAGAGAGAGAGAGAGAGAGGTCTTCCTTCCCTTGGTTCACCCTCCAAATGGCCGCCACGCCAATCTGAAGCCAAGAGCCAGGTGCTTCTCCTGGTCTCCCATGGGTGCAGGGCCCAAGCACTTGGGCCATCCTCCACTGCACTCCCTGGCCACAGCAGAGAGCTGGCCTGGAAGAGGGGCAACCAGGACAGAATCCAGCGCCCCGACTGGGACTAGAACCTGGTGTGCTGGCGCCGCAGGTGGAGGATTAGCCTAGTGAGCCGCGGTGTCGGCCAGCCACTGAGTCTTCTAACACTCATTCTTCTGTCTTCTGAGCTTCAAAGTCTACATGTTTTTAACTGAACACAAGCCATTGCTTCTGGACAGGAGGCTGTGACAGTGACTCAAGTGGTCAAGGCTGCCTCTATATTTCATTACTGTGGCTTCAACCCCAACCGGAAAGGGCTCTGGGAGAGCGCGGGAACGCCGCTGCCCCGTTCTCTAACGAAATTCCTTATACTCACGGAACATGGAAGCAGAAATAAACACGTTTCCCTTTCAAGACTCCAAGTAGAAAAGCATCTTTGAGATTTAAAATGAAAAGAATTATGACTCCCTCCAAGACAAAGAAGAAGGTATAATTCAATATAATTATATAATCAATATAACTGTATTTCGGAGGTGGGAACAGCCTCTTCAGGGAAAACGTAATCAGAAACAAAAAGGGGTCAGAGATGACTACACATTACACATGCTAATTAAAAATACATCAACTTTATTTCCACTTTTGTACAGTCCCCACTCTCGCATCTGATAAGACCCTCATCTCTATAAACACAAAAATAGTTCAAGAAAGCATGTTACAAGATAGTACATATAAGCAATAGTTTGGCAGAATTTTATCAACTCTAATAGTTCACACCCCCAAAAAACAATCTTAAAATCCAAAAATAACAGTTAGCTTTATTTAACATATTTTACACCTTAACATTTAAAATATCATGCTCTAGTTAAATATCTCATCAACAACACTGTATACAAATAAAATATTACACAAAATATATTTAAGAAAATGTTTTGGTCTTTGATCTGAGCAATAAATAAAAACACAGGCACTTCTACACTGAGACAGGGAGGCCATCACTACTCAGAGTAAGGATTCTGTATAAGCAACTTGTGAAAATATGGCAAGGATAGAATCCTGGAGTCTTAAGCTGACAACTCAGTGATGAAAAAGGTCTGCAACTTCAATCTTTTCACTTCGGGTTCAACGGTTACTTCTATGCGTTTCTGGTCCACACTGAAAATTCACAAACCCAATATGGCTGTTAGGGGCGATCTCATCTTGAGTTGGCTATTCTGGAATCATACTCATCATTTTCAAATACTAAAAGTAGGTAACTATTACGATACCACCCAGCAAACCAAATACAAGAAGAAATTAAACTTACACACACTCTGTCTCTTGTTACGGCCATAGGACCACAACAAGATAAACTGGATGAGGGTCACACAGTGATTCTTATTTTTGCAAAATGAACTAATTAGATTAACACAAGAAAATACTGTTGGGTGGCAGAAAATTTTGACAAAAGTCAATTTTCTGGACAATTTTTAAAATTCAACCAAATTACATGAAAATAAACATAATTCCATTTTACAAAAACCACTGAATCACATATAACAAAGTCTTTGTTGCCAATATGTTTACAAATACCTGGATTGTACACAAATCAGTATTATAAGGGTAATGTTATCCACACAGGAGGACAAACCAAAAATAACTTAAAGCGGTAAATTCTAGAAACTTAATGATTTCTGACGAGAAGGGGGATAATTAGAAAAGTGACCACCAACTTGCCAGCAGAAAGGATCAAAGCCAGGTGTCCTGCCCCCTTCTCTGTCAAAAATCATTGTCTTTTGCTTCCCCCTTCACCGAAGTACCAACTGGAAGGGTTTGGAGGCTTTCAAAGGGAAATTACTTCTCTAGACGATTCTGCCGGCTAACAGGGGAATCGCCCTCACGGGAGCGGGACACACGGGAACTAGTTCAGCAAAATCTAGTTTGCATCTATGTTAGCATTTTAAATGAGCGCTCTGCAACTGAGACCAGATATCAATCATCTCCTGAGGTTTCCTACTATGCACTAACATCAGGTCTACATAGGAACAAATGTTATTCTTGTTTTTCTCCTCGATGTCGAATGTCCTGAAGCCTTTGTGCTTCTCAGGAACGAGGCCGAGTTTCTGAAGGCACATCCCAGTGTACACGTCGTCGATGGGGTAGAGGTGCACGCGGTCGGTGACGTTGTACAGGCGCAGCGCCAGGCGGCCCGAGTACAGGAAGCCGCCGCCCCCCGCGTACGGCGGGTACACCCCCGAGTACACCACTTCCGGGATGTAGTACTTGAGTTTCTTATCCCGGTGAGGCCCCGCGTTGTGGATCACGTCGCCGATGAACAAGTCTTTGGCTTTGTTCCTGGCTAAGCTGTTCAAGTAATTGAGGATGTGATGGGTGTTCACGAACACGTCGTCGTCCCCCTTGAACACGAACTCGGTGTCCGGGCAGGAGGTGCTCACCCAGCGGAGAAACAGCACCTCCTTCAGAGACAAGTTGAAGAAGGTGTCTCTGTAGTTCCACAGGAGGATGTCTTGGTGCTTCTCGCTCTCGAACTTCACCATGTCGGAAAGGTCGGGGTGGTTGTCCTCCGGCGGCGTCTGGCCCAGCAGGAAGACGCGCACCACGCTCTGGTTGCCCACGTGGGTCTCTCGGCCCCACGACTCCCGAATCGCCTGCCTCCGGGCGAAGTGTGGCGTGAGGGACTTGATGGCCAACAGTAAGAAGGGCTTCTTTGCGCACTTACCCGGCTGATCGATAAGCAGAGAGTAATTTCGACATCTCAGATACAGCAGAAAGTCTTTAAACCTGTCCGGCAAGTTGTTAAAATCCGTCACGGCCGCTGGCACCCTCAGGTCAGGTTCACAGTAGTTCAGATGGCTTATGTTTGAAGGCCCGGATGCCTCCCCTGACTGGTTGGCCAACATGTTCAAGATGGGATTGTACCTCCTGTTCAGCTTTTCTTGTTCCCTGTTCCAGTACGCCTGGGGAGGGTTAGAGATCTTCCAGAACTTTTCTTTGGGTATGATCACTTCCCCCTTTCCATTTTTTTCTTGGCTGCTGCTTTTGGAGACTTCCACAATCAGATAAATGAAGACATTTGCCATCATCAGGATACCCAACAGCTTTATTCTTCGACGTCCAACACTCATTTCTCATATCTGGAATAAAGGATTGGAATAGTGCGTTAATTAGGTATTGGGAATTTGCATCGGCACTTTACTTGCCTCCTTGTCTCCCCTAGACTTAGTGATTCAGAGCACAGACTCCAGACCTCCTTTCTAATTCTATGACCTTCACACATGATATCACTGATGTCTTAGCTTCTCCATCTACAAAATGGGACTAACAGTCCTCTTCAGAGGACAGTTGTGAGGAATATATGACTTTATATGTAAAGTTTTTAAAATAGTGTCTGCCCCATAGCAAGCACAAAGGAAATGACTGTTAGCATTGCTGTTTTTGCTATCCCAAGGACAGAGCCCTTGGATATAGATTACCAAATAACCTCACTAGTGTTCAACTTCCTTGCTTACAAGGGCACATACAAATCAGTGCTTAGCAAACTGATTTGCCTACAGTTCAGAGCAAACATATTTTATACTGTGATCCATTATACACATGCACACACACACACACACACACAGCTGTATTTAAAGTTGTATTACACTATAGAGTAAAAGGTGGAAGAGTTATACAATCTGAAGAGAAATCAGAGTATACACTATATATATAGTTCCATGCCATTTACTTGAAATATCTTTTTTTTTTCCTCAGTATGCTAGTCCCATTCCTAAATTATTTCCCAAACCATCATTTTACGCAGGAAACCGAGGCAGAGAGATTACAATGTCTGCCCAGAGTTACAGGGCTAGGAACTATAGGAGACACTAACTATTCTGCCCATTCAGAGATAACATAAAAAGAAACTCTGAATACTTTCATTACAGTAGCCCAAAACTGAGAACTCCCCAAGTCTCAGTAGACTCAAACAATGGAATTATCAAATTTCAGTATATCAAGACAACAAATACAAAAGAAAACAACTGTTACCAGCAACATTACATGGTGAGTGAAAGTCAGGCCCCACATTTATTTCAATTTCATCAACAGGCAAAATTAACCTATGCCCTCAAAATCTGAATGTGACAGAGACAGGGTGGATTGAAGAGGGGCGGGAGCGAACTCCCCAGGGTGCTGGAATTACTACACCTGCCCTGGTCTGGGCGCTGGCATCATGGCTGTGTTCATGTCTCAAAACACATAAACTGTATACATAAATTTCTGCTGCTTGTAGTAAAAGAAAAAGAGAAATGCAAATGACATTAAAGTGAAATATAAAAAAAAAAGTCAAGCTGTGGACCACAGAATAACCTAGAAGGAGTCATAAATGCTTTGGGGGGATAGCTCCAGGGTTCTCACATGACTGACAAGGATGACCAGCCCAAGACCAACCATCTGGATAAGAAAGACATTAAGACAAGCCTAAAAAGTGAATGGGCAATATCCTTATGAAGTTATAATTCTACAACTGGGAACTTATCCATTTATTCCCGCAAAAACCTGCAAAGGATCCCTGGCCAGGACCAAAGCTGGGAGCCAGAGTTTTAATCCAGGTCTCCCACATGGGTGTTAGGAACACAACCACTTGGACCATAACTGCTGCCTCCCAAGATCTGCCTTAGCAGAAGCTGAATCCAGGAGCTAGAGCCAGGAATTAAATAATTAAATCCAAGGCAGTCCGATATAGAATGAGTTTTTTTGTTTGTTTGTTTTGTTTTTAAGATTTATTTATTTATTTGAAAGGGAGAAAGAGAGGAGAGACAGAGACCGGCTTCCCTCTGTTGGTTCACTCCCCAAATGGTCCCAACAGCCAAATGGTCCCAACAATCAGAGCTTCTTCTGAGTCTCAAGTGGGTTCAGGGCCCATCTTCAACTTCTTTCCCAGGCCACAGCAGAGAGCTGGATCGGAAGTGGAGCAGCTAGGACTTGAACTGAAACCCATATGGGATGCCGGCACTGCAAGCAGCGGCTTTACCTGCTACACCACAGCATTGGGACAATGAGTGTATCTTAACCAATCTCTGAATTGCTAGGTTAAACACCTGCCCCTGTGTGACTATTTAAATCAGGAGTAGTATTCACAAGTTTTTTCATTAGAAGATATTTCCATTCGGTGAGTTCTTACAAACAGTCCTAAGGCAGAAGAATGCTGTGAAACTATCACATGTTGGATAACCTGGATTAGACCGGTAGGAATTCCCAAGCTCTTCTGTGTCTTAAAATCCACCTAGCAGATCTTAATCTAGTGGCTTCAAGTATGAACACGTAAGTAAAGGTTCTGGTTATATTCACTTTGAAGCCAGCCCTTATCTCTCCTGGAAGCCTGCACATCCGGCAAGCATGCCAACTGGGAAGTGCAGCAGGTGCCCTCGACCCACCAACTGAGCAGTCTCCCCTCACACCCCAGGTCTTCCCTCCACCCCTCAAGCAGCTCACCAACTGAGCCAGCGACAAGGCTTTTCATAATCTTCCTTCCACTAAAGTCAGCCACAAGACATTTCTTATTTATTCCCTAATCACAGTTTGAAAGCACCCCAAGTCACAGCCTGAGTCACTGAAAATGGCCACACCCGCATCTCAGGACCACAATCTTCTTAGGTCAACTCCTTTCAAATGAGTTTCTGGACAAATCTTGAGAGTTCACTAACATGGGCTGACTCTGGCACATCTCTGGAGGCCTAAATCTCTTTGCTAGGGGCCTAACTTGCAGCCAGGTAGAATACAGTACACTAAGAAGGTATTGGTGTGGCTACCTGGGGCAGATGAAGAATCAGTGACCTTTTTAGAAAATCATAAATCCACTTGAGCATCTTTTCTGACTTCCAAGATTTGAAACGAAATCCTTCTGAAAAGTAAACAGCTCTCTCTAAATTAGGACAACCCACCTAAAGGTAACACAGCACTTGACCAGTCCTGCCAATCAGTAATGGGCCCTTCCTAGGTTGGAAGAAGAGCAACCAGGTGTGAGGACAAATGGAGCAAACTAGTCAGGAAAAAGATCTGCAAAGGTCATCAGGGGGGAAAAAAAAGCAGCACACATTAAGAACAGCTAAGTCTCTGGCAGAAATTTGCAGCTTCGGTAAAGGAATTTAGACACCAAGAGGCTATAGAAATTTCTAGAGTAACAGAAGGCAGTTTAAGGATAAAGGGAAGTACAGTACTGAGCAGGTTGTGAACTTCCAGAGCTAAGTCTCCTAAAAAAGCAGGCCAAAGGGCGGGCGTTCGGTCTGGAGATTGACAGCCAGCTAGGACGCCCATACCCTATACTAGGGTGCCTGGGTTTGAGCCCTGACTCTGCCCTTGATTCCAGCTCCTTGCTAAGGCACACCCAGGGAGGCAGCGGGCGATGGGTCCAGTGGCTGGGTTCTTGTCACCCACATGGGAGAACCAGAGAGTCCCCAGCTTCCAGCTGTAGATGGAAACGTGCGTAGCTGTCTTTCAAAAAATAGTAAAATACGGCCAGCGCCGCAGCTCACTAGGCTAATCATCCGCCTGAGGCGCCGGCACACCGGGTTCTAGTCCCGGTTGGGGTGCCGGATTCTGTACTGGCTGCTCCTCTTCCAGTCCAGCTCTCTGCTATGGCCCGGGAGTGCAGTGGAGGATGGCCCAAGTGCTTGGGCCCTGCACCCCATGGGAGACCAAGAGAAGCACCTGGCTCCTGGCTTCGTATCAGCGCAGCACACCGGCCATAGCGGCCATTTGGAGGGTGAACCAATAGAAAAGGAAGACCTTTCTCTCTGTCTCTCTCTCTCTCACTGTCTAACTCTGCCTGTCAAAAAAAAAAAAAAAAAAAAGAAAAAAGAAAAAATGGTAAAATAAGGGTAAGAATGTGTTCAAAAATGACTTGAGGCAACATCACAAGTTGTGCATCCAGGTTACACGAGAGGCTGTGGGTATCGAGAGTCATAACCACTTGAAGTTTCCATCACGGACAGCCCCAGCCCTTCTTCTGAGAATTCTTTAAGGGCTGATTGGGCTTGCTGACCCTGACCAAGATTTCTAACTTCTGCTACAGTTTGGGCTTTCATTTCCTCAATGGGGACCCAGCCCGGCACACCCCAGATCACCTCCACCCAAGACAGAGCCTGGGGCTAAGGAACAGCATCCTCCCCTTCCACGTGCCTGTGTCTCCTCTGCAGCTTCACCAGGCAGGGGCGCCTAGGGACGCTCTGAAGGGTGAGCGATGGAGGTTCCGAGAGGTAAGCAACAGAGCTGAGATGACACAGCCTCCGGCTCCCACCCAGTGCACGGCTCTCGGGGGCCCCTGCTGATCTGTAAGGCACCACCACATTCTCTCACCTGGTCCAGGACTGTGGTGAAGTCCCCAGGGCTGGCTCATGGCCGAAAAGATCGTGGTATGGAGTCGGCACACGTTAGAGCACGACAAAGAGGCTCCCCGGAGGCACAAAGAGGAGCTGCCACGAAGCTCCCTCCCAGCCCCTCTTCAGAAAATGGGCCAGCCTTTCCCATCCCCAAAGGCTCTGTTTCGGGGAAACTCTTCCCAACCCTTGCTAAAGGGCATTTCTCCCCAACCAACCTGGGGCGGGACGGGGCAAGAGCCAAGACTCTCCATTGTACATTTCCACCAAGGGCGGATGTCATCTTTCACTTGTGACCAGGGCACAGTCTCGTGCATGAGAACTCTGCTCTTGGCAGACTCTTACAACAAACTGAAGTCCATGGAAGCCCGGGTAAAGCTCTGACTCCCATAAAAATATCTGTGGGAAAAGGCTCTCTAAATATCTTGCCACATATTCCCACTGCAGACATAAAACCCAATTCCATGTCCTTTTTGGAGCAGGAAGTTACGTTGCTTAAAAAGAATTTGAGTAAGAATACTTACCCCAAAGCTGGGGAAAACATTATAAAAACCCTCACTGCGAAACAGTTTTTATCCTAACAGAATCAAGAAAATCCCAACTGCAAACACAGAGCCACCTCTGCTTTTTACCTTGTCCCCAACAAGGACACAACAGTTTAAAAACTTCTAATGTACTTCAGTTAATTCTGTTTAAGGAAAAAACAACTTCCTTCTTTATTTTATGATTAAAATATTTAGAAAGATAATATGTAGAAACAGGAAAAATGTCAGCTGAAA